AAGTGGTGTCTTTCCCCAAGGAGCGCGTCCCCTCTTGACGGTGCCCGACTTCAGTGCATCGTGCTTGATCAGGAGGCAACCGGTAGGTAGAAAATTGAATGGGGAGGCACTTATTGGCTATAACTCACAAAGAAGCACCCCCAGGAGCCAGAGTCAGAAACAGGGAGTTTCCTCGGTGACAAGCAGGAGCTTGGGGGGGACCCACAGCCGGCACAGGGCTCTCGGGAGCGGGGGGAGGTAGGAGAGTTTGAGCTCCCAGACGCTGCCGGAGACAGGGCCCCGCGACATCAACACGCACGCTTTTCCCCCGGAAGGTCAAACACCCAGAGGTCACGGGGCTCCACGAGGGACGTGGTTTAACTGAAACCCTCCACCTCTGAACAGTTGAAGAGCGGTCATTGCCGCCTGAGCCATCTCCAGCCAACAGCAGTAATGGCGCTGTCACCGTCACCTTGTGCTTAAGTGGACACGGTGTGCCTTCCATGAAAGGCCGTGCCGTTAGCCACGCAGGGGTTCCAGTGAGCGGAAGCCGAGGCAGCTCTCTGTGGGTGACCATGCGGCCGCAGGGCAGGTCTTGACATCTGTGTGACCAGCGTCCGTGCTGTTGTGACGTCACACGTCGATGGGGTGGATATTCCTGGAGTCGGCGCCATGTGCCGGGTCGTGCACTGACAGCAGAGGGGGTCAGCTGGAGGCTGCCTCCCTCAGGAATCTTGGCGTGGGGTTGTGGCCGCATCGGGTAGACACGTGACGCAGTGACCACCGAGACCAGCACATTGAAAGAAGCGGGCAGAGGGGCGAGGTGACAGTGATGGGCAGGGTGCTGGTCTAGCTGGGTGCCAGAGCGGGAAGGGGGCTCAGGAAGGCTGGGGGCAGGCTGAGCCCTGAGGTGGGAGGACGCAGTCACACGAAGAGCAGAGGAGGGCACTTCAGCAGTGGGGACAGCAGACACACAACCCCGAGGTGGGACCCGCTAGGCACGTCCAGCAGCCAGGAGCTGACCAAGGGGGTGAGAAGAAGTCGGGGGTGAGCTGTTGGCCGTGGAGAGTGAGCACTTCACATTTTCTTCAAAATACCAGGGAAGGGAAGCCGGTGACCCACGTGTACGGTGTGAAGAGGTCACTGTCTCTCCAGGTGAAGGAAAGGACAGTAGAAGCAGGGAACCCCTGAAGAAGGTGTCCCAGTGGTCAGAGTGGTTTGGACTTGAAGTAGGAAATGAGGATGGAGACAAGTGGGTACATTTGAGAATGGTCATGAAGGGTGGGGTTTTACTTTGTTTTGTTTTCTTAAAGTGCTGCAAAGGCCATCCCATGCCCCAGTCTCTCCCTGGGCTGCAGCGTGCCCTACAAGGCCAGGATGCAAACTGCCCAGCCCTCCCGTTAGGTGGAGGGTTCCTGTGTCCTGCTCTTGTGCATGTGACGACTCCCAGGAAATGATAGCTCCACTTCCTTGTGGGGTTTTTTTGTGCAAAATGCTTTTCTGTTACATTCCATTGCACTTTATGGGGAAAGTTCATTGTAGCCCAGTGATAGTACTCGTGGATCGGGAGTCCCCGAGAGTGCCGGACAGGTCCCTTGTGGCCACCTATGTCTGATTCCCGAGAAGCTGTCACTTTGGATCAACGTGCATCTCTAATAAAACTAAGTAGTCGTGAGGTTAGCTGGTTTGACTCCAATCATTATTATTACTTTTTCCTAAGAGTTCCCAGCCTTTTGGGAATCGGTCCGTGAGATTGAAAAGGGAGGCAAAGAGGAACGGGAGAGAATGAGTGAAATGGTGGAATTGGCTGGTCTCCCCTGACTGCGGTGGATGAGGGACGGTGAGGGGTGCCCGTGCCTGGTGCGCACAGCGCCCTGCCCAGGCGCCGTCACCTCCTCAGCTGAACACACTCTGCCACTTCATTCATTGCCCGCTCCGCTCACGTTGCAAACTGGTCTCCTGGTCTCCGTAGATCTTTTTTTTTTTTCACATTTTCATTTACTTAAATGACATAAAAATTAACCTTCTGTTAAAGGAAGACCTTCTTTCCTCTCAAAACAAGGACATAAATTGATTTTTCCCTGTGCAAAACTCAGACTGGAAAACACAAACGTGAGTGTTTTACAGCCTGCGTCGGCCTCGTCTCAATAAATTTCCCCAGCATTGTTCTGCCTCTTTAGTTAAGTCTATTGCAAGGAACGTCTAAGAATCTTAAAAGGGACACGCGTAGCCGTTGCAAGGAGACGCGGAGGGAGAGAGCAGAGCCGGGTTCATTTTCTACGACCCTGCGATGAGACGCCTTCCATCTGTGAAGTGCTGGAAGAATTAAGCTCTATTGTTCTGTTCCTTAATGTCTCCATTTGGAGAGAGTTTGGGCTGGTTTAATTCCTATATCGAGCTCACTTTACATCTGAATCGAACAGGAGCCATTGCTAGGGACCATCGAGTTAGAATACCAAACACGAGGCCTGCTGAATCGCGGGTTCTGCTGGGAGGGCGCAGCTGATGCCTACGGAAGCAGCCCCCGGCGTCGGGTTCAATCAGGCTCTCTTTACATTTACCGAGGAGATTGGTTCCCAAATGGAAATCAAATCCAAATTTAAATAGGGCATCGGCTGCTTCTCCTTCCAATCCCCGTGTTTCAGAACCCTCTGCTTTCCCTTTCTCTCTCTCTTATTTTTTCCCCTATTTCTTTTTAAAGAAATGTGCCACGATCCAGTTAGATAGGAATGTGGGCAGAATGCTAATTGTTGAAGGAAGATGAAGCTGACTGTGGCTTTGGTGCTAGGACAGGTAGAGGACACAGCTGTGGTGCTACCAACCCGTCCCCAGCAATCCTCAGCGTGGCCGGCGGCCGCCCCTAGTTTTCGTGCTGAGAGTGTCTCTCCTGTCGTTCGCAGCGCCCCACGGGCCTTCCTTCACCATCGGAAAGGCCATCTGGCTCCTCTGGGGCCTGGTGTTCAACAACTCTGTGCCTGTCCAGAACCCTAAAGGCACCACCAGCAAGATCATGGTGTCCGTGTGGGCCTTCTTTGCCGTCATCTTCCTGGCCAGCTACACGGCCAATCTGGCTGCTTTCATGATCCAGGAGGAGTTTGTGGACCAAGTAACAGGACTCAGTGACAAGAAGGTAAGGTGGCCGTGCTTCCGTCTCTGTGTCAGGGTGGGTCTCAACTGCTGTCCTCAGAAGGACTGATTTGAGCTCCTTCAGGTCAGCTCACCGGCTCCGGAGGGTCTGGATCTGATCTAGCAGCACCGTCCCCCCACTTCCTGCTTCTGCGGTCTTCCTGACCATGCCTGGGTGGGCAGCCTCTGGCTCAGGGGCACAGAGCAGCTCACACCTCCCAGGGGGCATGATGGGGGACTGTCCACTGGCCTGGGCCGGGAGAAACTCAGTGTGGAGGGGCTGCTCCGCTGCAGGTGCCTCCTAGCTCTGTGACCCTGGAGAGCCTCTTATGTGCTCCAAGCCTGGGATTCCTCATCTGTGATGCCGAACATTTCACGTCTAAACTCCTGTCGAGGGACAAAACCAGCCTGCAGCTCCTCCCCACCTGCAACCGGCTGCCTTCCGACTGCCTTCCAGTCTGCTCTTGAGCTGCCTTGAGATCTCTTCAAGGAACACAAAAGGCACAGCGAGGACCCGTCCTGTGGCTTCCTCCTTCTCAGACACTCCTCAGAGCTCCCCTGTCTGTGGCCTGCTCCCCCAAGTCCTCATTGCAATGCAGAGTGTGGCAGGCTTGAGTGGCCATTCAGAAACTCCTGGAGGAAGAAAAGGGGGCGCCCAGGTGACTCTCCTTTGGAGATTTGCCTTCGGGAAGCCCGTCTCCACTGGCTGAGCTCAGCATGTCAGGCTGCAGCCCTGCGGAGGTTTTCTGTTTCCTGCGTGTGAGGATGATCTGTCTCTCTCTGAAATCTCCCTGTCGTACCTTGTTGACAGAAGTCTACCTACATCCTTTCGCCTTCATCAACAAACTGCTGCATAAAAAATCAGCCCGTGGAAAGCCTTTTACCGCTTACCCAGGGCGTGCAGGGCTGCTGACGGCGGACGAGGAGAGGCCGGGGTCAGAGGTGGCGTCCCCTGCACCCAGGTGCCCTGTGCGTGGCTGGCCTCCCCCGGAGGGCTGCCCTGGGAGCCTGAGTAGGGGCCCCTCCGCTGACCGGGCACTCAGAGCCCTTTGCCTCCTGCACCGTCCCCTCCCTGCTGCTCAGCAGAGCCCCCTGCCCATTCCCTGTCCCCCTTCCTGCCTGGCGCCCGCTGGGCTCCCTGCCTAGAGGGTGCTGCCCCCGTCTTCTCCTGGCGGCCTCCTCCTGAGTCTCAGGTCTTAGGGCAAATACCACAGGGGACGTCCCTGACTCTGGGGTGAGCTTGGCAGGGTGAGCTCAGGCACCCCAGAAAGTCAGATTTTGGTAGGAAGAAAAACCAATACACAGATAAATGTCAGGGAAGAAGAAAATGTCAGACGGGAATAAAGGTGATACGAAGAGATAAAGCGGAGGGGAGTAAACTGGCTGGGGAAGAGACCACTTTTCATGGAGTTCTCTGGCACCCGGGGGCGCCCGTACCTCCTGTGGGTAGAGAAAATGAGTGGACGGTGTTGGACCCCGGTGCCCCGGGCCTCCTGGGCTGCGTGCCCAGCATGCGTGCCCAGCCTGCGTGCCCAGCCTGCTCTGACACGCTTTGCTGTGAAGAGCCACGCCAGGGTTCTTCAGAGGACGTGCCCCTGGCCCTTGTCATGGGAAATGCCTCTGAAGTAAAGCCGTGTCCTGTGGCTTCCTCCTTCTCAGACACTCCTCAGAGCTCCCCCGTCTGGGGCTGCTCCCCCCAAGTTCCCTACCATGCAGACTGTGGCAGGGCTTGAGAGGCCATCCTGGAGGAGGAGAGGAGGGCGCCCTCTCCTGTGGACGTTTGCCTTCGGGAAGCCCGTCTCCACCGGCTGAGCTCTGCATGTCACTGCGGAGGTCCGTTTCCCCGTCTGAGGATGATTTCTAATCCTCCCTTGTACCCCTCACCCCGACCCTTATGGGTTCCTCCTGGGCACTTATTAATAAAGCAGGTTCAACCCAGTTCCTGGCCCGTGGGGCGGGGGCTGCTGCCGGAAGACCCCCAGCTGAGGCGCGGGGTGTCTGAGGCTCCAGGTGAAGCTTGGCATGGGGTCAGGGTGGCTCCGCTGGCCCCCTGTCAGGACAGCCAGCCGAGTCAGGCAAGCTCCCCGGGCCTGCCCGTTCTCTGTGAATTGTGCAGAGGATCAGCGGGAACTGCATGTGTGAATGCGCCCATCACAGCCTGCAGACCCTCGGCACTGCTAAGGACTCCATTGTTATGGGATCCAAAGTGCAGTTCCTAGGAGAAGGGACCAGAAGCCCAAAGGAAGCAGGGAGAGCACTGTCCTGAGTGAGAGGAGTTCCGAGAAGGTAGTTGGCAGCGAATTTTGCTTTCTGTCGCTCAAGGGGAAAAGTCCCTCGCTTTGTAGTTTTGGATCTAATACGACCACTTGTGGGAAAACTCATTAAGGGCACCAACAATTTTACTGACCTTGGATTCGGAAACACCTAGAGGCCGACAACAGATCCTCATGGGACACAGCTCCGTTTCCCTGCTAGGAGCATTAGAGACAAACCGATAGCCCTTCTAATTAAATGTTTGCTACAATTAGACGAACAGCAGAATTATTAGAGTAAATAGGCTAACTGTTCCTGGAATATTAATAGCAGATAAACCAAGCAAGTTTGCAGAATGAGAATCTATATAAATGAAATCGTTGTGATACTGCACACAGTGTTTGTTCTGGTTTTTAATCATGAGAACCTGCGTGAACACTCGGGTTGCTGACACGTGTAAACATTCGCACCTGCGGTGCATGCAGCAGATCTGGAGCCCATTCTGTGTTCCCATGAGCTTGGGTTTGCCTTACAAATAGGAGAATTCGAGGGCAAACGCTCCCCTGGAATGGCTACAGGAAAGTTGGCACATGGGTGGGGACCCTTTCCGGAGCGTTGGGCACCGCCGTGATGAGGAAAGCCATCTCTGAGAGGCGGATCCCTGTAGTGGAAGAGCCATGTCGAGTCTGGGGTCAACGCAGCCGGATTCAGACTCCAACCTCGCCATATTGTGGTCTCACGTCTTCCATATGCCCACAGCCCCGAGGCTTCGTTTCCTAACAAAGGCAAGATGCTAATACCTTTCTGGCAAGGTCCATGTGAGGATTGAAGGAACCCTCGCGGTACAGCTGGCCCACGGGAGATGACCCTGTTTCAGGGCCACCTCCTCTTGTCCACTTCCTCTCTCATTGCTCTCTCCCTCCTATTCTTCCTCTCCTTCCTCCTCCTCCTCCCCCTCCTCCTCCCCCTGC